GCTTCTGCTATGTTACTGTGGCATTTCGCCAGAACTAATCGCATCTCCGTCAATTCGTGAAAGAAAATTCAAAGTAAGTCACAGTTTGGCTAATGCTTGTTATTATTGACAAAACCTATTTACTCGTACTTATATGTTAATGACAAAAAACATCAATGCCGCTTTGACTTTTCATAAAAAAATTGTAGAAGAGAATATTTTCAATAGAAAGATTTTTCGTAATTTAATAGCATGATCGAATTTTTTTGTTTTGATTGCTTAAGTGTTCCAATATGCTACCAATTAAACATGGAACAATTTCAAAATAATGCTTTATAACAAAGTTTAAATTAAATTTTCAGTTGAATCCACATATACATCAAACATATCTTCTAGAAATTATCGAAAAAAAAAGTTTTCAGTATTTTTCTTGTCCTCTCCAAGTGAGCCCCTATTACCCCTTAAAAGAAATGACGCCAATTCTGAATCACCCTGTAATTTGTTGAAATCTTAACGTTTCTGAGATAAGATTTCTTTTGTGAAAATGAGGAACTTCTTCTAAAATTTGTTATCATTAAAGTAATTATCAACATCCATTTTGAATTTCCTAATGGAAAATTTTCTACATTTTTTTTAAATTTGTCACTAAAATGTACTACTAAATTCTAAATAAATATTGAGAATTTAAGGTTTAAAAAAAGGTTCCAATTTTTACAAAATACCAAGTTTTCAAAACGGTAGGCAACCCCTAAGCAAGGTAAATCCTAACATTCTAAAGATTTCAAGCAACTTTCAATTAAACCTAATAATTGGAACATTAATAATAAATTTTACAATGAACTACATTTATCCGTCCGAAACAAACCAGCCTAAAAATATTTGAAATTCGGACAAAACATACTTCGACTTAGATTAATAAAAGGCTAAGTAAACACCAGTTTTCAAGTGACTCGATCGGAAAAAAAATGTAGGATTCAAACCTGGAGATCAAGGAGTTTTCCTAAAAGTTCAGGTAGAAGACCCCTGGAAAATTAAGATCTAAAAATATGATAAGGGCAATAACTCTGGGAAAATGGATTTGGTAGAAGGGGTGCAACAGAATATCTGGTAAGTTCTTTGGTTTCGTTATCTCAAGATTTTTCTATTGGGTCACTTCAAAACGGTTGTCTACAAAACAATAATTGATAGTATTTGCTTAATATTCAAATTTCAAAATTATATAAGAAGGTTTGTTTCAAAAAGAAAGCCCTGCATATCGAAATAGTACTATACACAAACTGCGCTTTATTTATTTTGCATTTTAGTTTTTGTCTGAGTAGGTATGGTACTAAGAAAGTGTGTGTAACTCACATTCATATAAATCAGTAATTAGTATACGATTTAATATGTTTATTTTATTTCGTGTTTCTGTAATAAATAACAGTTGGTCTTCTGTTTTTTGTTTCCGTTTGATCATTAGTTACCACTAGATTTTTGTCGTATTAAGGGATTGAATGATAATGCGTCTATGTGAGATACACTATATATTTTGATAATTTAGTGCGTTCTATATTCACAAATTCGTTAATTAATGGAAAATCAATATCGAGATTTGATGGATTTCTTGAAAGTTTCATAATGTAATTAAAAATTGCAAGCTTTTATTTCGAATTTAAAATTTTCATAAAGTAAACTTCTTAAAAGTAAAGCAGACAACAGATCTTAAACTTGGAGATGATTTCAGATATTTTCTATGAATATGTGTGATATATATAGATGAATGTTCTTTTTGTTGTTTAGTCAGTTTTTCGTTTTTGTATGGCATCAATATATATCAACCAAGATTTTTTCATTCATCTAGTTCACTGATTTAAAAAAATTAAAATGCTCCTCAATCCCTTAGTATGTTTATGAATAAATTTACTCATTACCCATATCTGTTCACCACTGACATTGATTGTTGGAAAATCCAGTAATAGTTGTTGCATTTCCATTCATCAATTTGAACGTTTAACATTTACGTTATCTTTACTAAATCATCCCCTGAGAGCGATGGGATGTTTTGAAAGCTTGGCAATGTTAAAGTATTGGTGTTCCAGTGTATTTTACATGAGCATCACATTCGGAATATTGGAGGAGAGCCATTGATGTCAAATCCGAACGAGCTGACCATAGTAAAACGAGATACTGAAACTTACAAAGGAAATAGAGGTATTCTGTATCGAAAGCTTCGGTTTAGTTTAGCCTGTTTGCGAGATATTGACGTTTGCTTTTTGGTATCTAAACAGGTCAATAAAGTAAACCGAAGAAATGCGTTAAGTATAACGAATTGAGGCAGATATGGGCAGTTTCTCATTTTTCGCTTAAACCTATACGGACCGAAAGTTAAAACGTAGTACAAAATAGAATATTAAATAGGGAGAAACCAATTTCAGTCGAAAAATGACCCCCTATGTCTCATAAAAAACGTATCGCCTAATCAATTAACAGTAGAGAGATTTATAACTAAATTTATAATAATATTAACTAGAAAATTCGTTCCTATTTTTTTGACTCTCCGTCTTAAAGAAGGTCGTTTTATTACGGCCGTACGGATTACACTTTCGCTTTGTTGTTCTAATCTGCTTTACCAATTGATGAAAGATGCACATAAAGAACAATATAGACACTGTTTAAAATTATATGGCACGTTCTGAATATTAATTAATGTAAGCCTTCTAACGAAATAAAACAAAAATTATCTAAAGTTTTACTCAAATTTTAACAGCGGAAACTATCATATGTGTTGTACGTATTCAGCTTGAGTGCGAGCTCTCTCTTTATTTGTATTTATATGTAACGGTCTTTATATATATTTTGTGCACAAAATAACATTGGTGCAATTTCGAATCATCAGATCGTATTTCAGAAACAAAAAAACATCAAAACATAATTTATTATTGAATATCAGTCATTTCCTTGTATCCTAACAGACACAATTTTTTTCTCATTTTGCATAAACATCCACTTTTCAAAAAATATTATTGACGCAATTCTCGATTTTATTTTCGCTATTTTGTTTATAATTATTATGCCAGTTTCATTGTATCGTTACTAGTGAGGAAGCATTAAAAATGCATTTATTAAACGAAGTTTATCAGAGAATAACAAGCAATAATAATGAACAACTCAAGCGAATTAATAGCTTCAGTTTCTATTGTGTCGGAATGTACTATTTTAACAAATGCTGTACATTGACGAAAGCGTAATGGTTTTCATTAATTTACAATATTTTTTCACGGTTTAGAATATTGGTTTTTTTCTTTCTCTTTCTCATTTCAAAAATGAGTTCAAATCTGTTGGTGAGAGTAATCAAGTGTCACGGACTGTACATATAACGGGTGTCCCGAATATAGGTGGCCAAACTGAAATAGTGAAATCTGCTCTCAAAAATAATATAAATTTTTCAAATGAACGTGTATCGAAAAATGCTTCTTAACGGAGCCACGCCTTCTTGAAGAGGGGCCCAGTAGTAGGGTTTTTTGCAAATTATTTCTAAACGGTTGAACTTGAAAACGGAAAATTTAGGACCTTTAATAATTTCGATATGCTGAATCCAGATCTGAAATTAAAACTCTCATAATTTCATCATAGACGTATCATTTGGGGGGGTAGAAGTACAAAAAAGATCTAACATGACACCCTGTATATTCCTGAATTAACCAACAACTTTTCATGTAAAAAATCTTTAAATTCGAAATCAGCTAGAATGTCGAAAATAGAACGCACATATACAGGACAGATTTTCTCGTTTAGGTCAATCTAATTCAGTTCGTAACTTAGTTATGTCCAATAATTGTGTCAATTGGACGATTTTAAAGAATGTGGCTATTTTGAATTACGTTTGTTTAAAATAGTTTCAATATACATTGCACTCGAAATCGAATATATTTAGTTAACAGTTTGCAATAAGTAGGAAACAGTGGACAACCTGTATTACAATAATTCACTTTTACTGTTTTAAATGCTAAATAAATTGGAACATATTTTGTTACTTTACTTATAACTGACAAAGAGTTGAAATGTAGTGTTTCGCTATGGTTAACCCTCTAAGCTCAAACTCAATTTATAATGTGCTTATGAAATGCAACAGCTGGAGAATTAATCACTATTAGTAGTTGTTCTGATTGTGAAAGCTCTAACTTTTTTCTGAGACTATAAATCAATCTTTTTTCTACAAGTTGTGGAAACCTGAAATATTTTACGAAGAAAAAGCTTAATGTACGTCGCTCAGACGCACCATTTTCCATCTAAATGACTTTAAAATATCACTGCTATCCATAAACATTTGATATTTTAAGTTAATATTATTAGCGATACTAATTTACTGGAGTAAATAGTCAAAAACATTTCCATTTTCTTGAATGCACACTCTGGACCTTTTCCTAATATGTTGGGTGGCAAATCCACCTTAGAAACTCTTCTATGGCATAAATAATATTAGACATATTACCCCACAGATGATGTCCAAAGGATTTAGATCAGGCGATCGAGCTGGCCAGTTTACTGGGCCACCTCGACCTATCCACCCGCTTAGAAAATGTTGGTTTAACCAATTTCTCACAGGCTGACCGAAGTGGGCTGGCGTCCCATCATGCTGGAAGAACATTTCTGACCGAGTGCTTATAGGAATGTCCTTTAGCAATTCTAGCAGAGAGCTAGAGTAAAATAATCGGTCCTAACAAGATATCCCCTATGACACCTGCCCATACATTGAAAGGGAACCTGTTGGAAGTTCGCTCTTGCTGAATTGAAATTGAATGCTTTGGCTCTTGAAAAGGTTGCCTTATTCGACCGTAAAATGTTTTTTAAATCATGTTGGTGGCTTAGAATCCAACGGAAAAATTCTGTACGTGTTTGAAAATCTGTTGGCCCTTAAATCATGTACCCTTTTATAATAAAAAAGGTGCAATCCTTGCTTCTGCATGTCTTCGTGCAATCTTTACCCTTTTTTTTAATAATCAAAAAAATTGCAGGAAGACATTTACTAGTTTTTTCATGCTCGGCAAAACTAAAAGTGCTTACAATAAATTTATGGATATTGGTAATATTTTTATAAAACAGTAATATTTTTAAAGTCATTTAGTTGGCAAACGGTGCGTCTGAGTGAAGTAAATTAAGAGTAACTTTTCGCCTTAGAATACTTCAGATTTCCTCAATTTGTAGAAAAAATATTGATTTATTAGAGAAAAGTTATACCTTTTTTTGGTACTTGTAGCCCCCCAAATTATACGCCTATGATGAAATTCTGACAGTTTTAATTGCAGATCTAGTGTCAGCATATCAAAATTACTACAGTTCCTAAAACTTACGTTTTGAAGTTCAACTGTTTATTGAAGTTATACCGAAATAATTTGCAAAAGACCCTACTACTGGGCCCGTCTTCAAGAAGGCGTAGATCCGCTAAGAAGCATTTTTCGATACATGTTTATTTAAAAAATTTATATTATTTTTGAGAGCAGATTTCACCGTTTCAGTTTGGCCGCCTAATTTCGGAATTCCCTGTATATTATAACGAACAAGGAAAAAATCAGAAATATTTTATTGTTTGGAAAGTTATTGATACTGTTGTTTGTAAATTGCGTCTTGACATAATGAGCGTGTTTCATGAAAAACCATATCGCTAGCACTAAAACTAATTTAACGAAGAAATGAACATTACTGAAAATGATAAATATATGTTAAATATCTACTAGTTTTTAACAATGGCTAAAACGTAGGTATATTTATTCGCATAGAGACGTTGATAAAGACTGAGTTAAAAATTGTGTAAAAAATTTTTTAGGTCGGTCAAAATTCAAGTTTCGAAGTTATTAAATTAATACTTAAATTGGGGTCATTTAGAAATTGCATTTGTTTGGCAGGAGGTCCTTAAATCTGAACAGTTTTCGGATCGTTTACCTTAACATTTCCTTACAAAATGCTTGTTTATTATTGTGAATCACCCTATATATTCCCTAATCGGTTTATTATTCTAACATTATTGCACCACCATCAAGTATCCTTGAATTTATGGCGCGAGTTGATGCACCATGCGTTTCGTCCCAGGCCTACCTGTGGCGGATACAGTTCGCCACAAATCGCTTATACGCCATTGATATTGGCCAAACATTAAATAAGTGGATGCCTTCGTCTTTTATACAGTTACAAATTGAGAACTCGCTTGGAGTGCTGTCGATTGACGCTGTATTGATACATTGGCGACATAATTATTTTAAGTGTCTTGCGAAAAGCTCAGTTGAGACAAATTTCTAGAACAAATTTGGATTACCTGCCGTATCAAGCAAATTACAGTACCAAGCTAAAATAAATTTAAATTGGTGGTATTCCTCCTGGCAAGGGAGGCAATTGGTCATAGAGAACCCTGCTGAAATTCATTCCTGTCAATATCCGATCAATTGGAGTCCTGGTATCGTATAATGAAGGGGCTTGGCAAATTATACCTGCTGTTCCTCCAATGCAGGCAATCGTAAAAACCCATAAAAAAAATCGATCCAAAACCATAGACACAAATTTCCAGTCTTCTATAACCTGACGAAATAAATAAATTAAAAATGGCTGACCCCTTATACGATTTTCAGTAATGAGAAACTTTGTCCAGGTCGGTTTGCAAATTATTTTTAGAGTTAAAACCACCATTAATTAAATTGTACTGAAGCATTCAAAATAGTTATGATCCAAAATTTGTCAATCGATTTCCAATTACATATACTGTTTGCACATATTAGAACGTTTTGTGAAATATGATCTGCTTTCAGTTATAATCGGAACTAATATGTCCTTAAGCCCTTATTATTTTGTATAACTTGGAAGCAATCCAGCATTTCTGGTCTACTAATGTTCTCCTAATGGTTTGAAATCTATATCTCACCTCATTATTCTTATCAGCATCACGAATATGTTGAGCAATAAATCGGACTCCTTCTAAGGCAGCTAGAACGTTTGCGGACAAACTTTTTTGAGTTACGTTCGTAGAGGAATCTCCCACTAAAAATAGGTAAAGCTCCTATACATTGTTTGGATCGTTCCAAATTTGTACCCACTTGAGGAATGAGCTTTCATTTTATTTGAATCGTCTGGATCAGCGTTTTGCAAAACACAACTGGGATCTTCAGTGGTAATCTTGAAATCTGAAGTAAACGGTTCTCCCATGTTGAGTCTGAAAATTGGAAAATGTAGCAAGGATCTCAGGCAATTGGTTGGCAAGGGCATGATGGCTTTAAAACTATTTATTAAATTTGAAAAATTATAGTAATCTGCCATTCCAAAAGCTACCAAAAGAAAATTAGTTAGTTTTGGATAAAGTAAAAGACCTGTTTAATCTTTGCCTATACGACAGCGCTAAACCAGATGACCAAACCAGAAACACGGCCACTATGATATTATTTCACAAAACAGGTGACATAGCAGAGCTGGAAAATAACAGACCCATAAGCTTTCCTACTAACTAAATATATTTACAAACTGCGCACAAGGATTCTAACATCCAGACTAGAAAACAAATTATATTTCTTTCAATCACAAGAACCGACTGGAATTAGCTTTCGTTGCGGAACCCGCGACCATCTATAAAGCATTAAAACAATCCTTGCGAAAAGTATTGAGTATAATGTAAATAAGATGGTGCAAATTTAGTTTAACCAAACCAAACTAACCCAAACTAACTCGAGGTTCACTAACTTCAGGCAACCCCCAGGACGGGTTTCGAGCCTATTAGGAGGATACTTTCTTTTTTTTTTCTTAGAGTTAGTTGTTCTGAAGGCAAATTGTTCGTGAGGGATTCCGTGGTTATGAGATATTTTGTCCAAGAGTCTCTCTTTGACGAAATTATTTGTRAGTTTAGACAAGGTTGGCAGAAGGCTAATTGGGCGCCAGTTTTGGGGGAAGGTTTTGATCTGATTCGGTTTTGGAATGAGAACTACCGCCGCTGTTAACCAGCTGTAACGAAGGTTAACTTTACTATTAGCCAAATAATACGCAGTAGMGAAAGACGAGAAAAGGTAGTTAAAAAAGAAGTAGACACACAGTCCAATTTCGGGCACTTTTCCTGTCCTACCAACCGACCGAACAGACCAGACTTCTCTGTCCTACCGGCCCCACCAGTTCTATGGCCGCCTATATTCATCCGCACGATAACGATCAAGAAGCAATCCCAGAAATTCCAGTCCATATCAACAACACGAGTTGTCCGACTGGCAGTAAAGATGGTACAGTGCCCATATTCGTAAACCATTCCCGATATTTTTTTCGGTTTCCCGTGTAACAAGCCATAGGGCGGTTTGTTGTGTCTTGAGGCCATCCGATTATTACGAAACCCGTGCAAGTTACAAGTTCTGGTTCATCTTCAATCTGTCATGCTTCCTCATCATTTCAACCCCATTCAGCGATGTTGCGCACTGCCTGCAGTAATATAAGACACATTGTGTGTTTGTGACTAATGATGGTTATTCTGACCTCGCGCTTCCGTCCATTTCGCTCGGCATGAGCTCAGAATAGGTGCGGGTTTGCAGGATCTCGATTGTCTCTGAACTTCAACATTTTTTCGCCGTGTTTTGTGACCGATGTTTGTTATTCTGGCCCCGTGCTGCCCGCCATTTCTCCCGGCATAAGCTCAAAATTTCCACAGGGTTCTCAAGTCCCCGCTGTCGATGGTAGGCTTTTATTCGGGCTTCGCACTTCCGGCCCTTACATCAGGAATGAGCTCAGAATGGGTGCCGGTTTGCAACATATGGTTTGTCTCTAAACGTGAACACTTTTTCGCGTTGTTTTGTGACCGATGGTTGTTATTCTGGCCTCGCGTTTTCGGCCATATCCTCCTGGCCCTCAAATCCCCGCTGCCTGCCTTCATGCTAGCCTCCCGCTTCTGGCATTTCGCCAGGCATGAGCTCAGAATGGCTGGAGGTTTACAGAACTCAGTTGTTTCCGAATTTAAGCACCTTTTTCGACGTTCGACGTGTTTTCCTGCTGATATAAAGATCTTAATGTAGCAGTAATGTAAGCGAATTAATGATATGTTTCCTGCCCGATCGACGTTCCCATTCGGATAGAACGCAAAATAGACCAACCACCATAAAGAATCAATTTTTGCTGAAATTAACCGCCAGTAACTGTATTTCACTGTCCAACTACTCCAGTTGTCCTATGGCATTCATTGCTCAATCACTCATCATAAACAATCAGTCGACGCCATCACCTAGACCCAGATTAAATAATCGAAGGCAGATAAAATGTGGGAAACGAACACGAAAGCTCTCTGAGGTTTTGCTGGTGTCAAATTAACTCCGAGTATAAATTCCCCAGGCACGTCAGTTTATGATCCCTG